AGTTGTCTGGGTGGCGAGTTGTGGACAATATTGCGTGATCGTTGTAAATTCGATGATGCCACCACACGCTTCTACACCGCCTGCGTGGTGGAGGCTTTCCAATACCTGCACTCACGCAACATTATCTATCGTGATTTGAAACCGGAAAATCTGTTGCTCGACGAGAAGGGCTATGTTAAGTTGGTGGATTTTGGTTTTGCTAAGAAATTACAGTCGGGCCGCAAGACGTGGACCTTCTGCGGTACACCAGAGTATGTAGCGCCTGAGGTGATATTGAATCGGGGACATGATATTAGCGCTGACTATTGGTCACTGGGTGTGCTGATGTTTGAGCTGCTGACCGGCGAGTGGAATTTGGCGTAAATGTATTTTTAATTGATTTTAATATTTATTTTTTTGTTACATTCTGCAGGCACGCCACCATTCACCGGTTCGGATCCAATGCGTACCTACAATATTATCTTGAAGGGTATTGATGCCATCGAATTTCCGCGCGATATTACACGCAACGCCAGCAACCTAATTAAGAAACTGTGTCGCGATAATCCAGCTGAGCGTTTGGGCTATCAGCGTGGTGGCATCAGTGAAATACAGAAGCATCGGTAAGTGGTGTTGTTGGCTGCAAATGTTTTTGTAATTTTTTTTTCATTATTACTGATTCCATAAAGTCGAACAATAAGTATTGGGGTGTTAGCTGAGCGATTGTAAATGAGCAGGTGAAGACGTGTACGTCGGTGTCGAATTTGGATAAATATGAGTTCAGTCGATTCCAGTATCCAGACGTTAATTGGTTCAGTGTTATGCACTCTAATAACGTCCTTCACGTGTCTGAAGAAGGTTAGGGGCTCTCTGCGAATGCCATTTAGGGCTTGTCACCACGTTGTCGGGTTTAATGGTATAGTCCCTGTGGCCCTTCAATTTGTTTAGTCTGTCACTGATACTCATAAATAACGCCATAGGCTAAAAAGCTCGCAGAGACAAGTTTAAAGTAAAAGAGCGATCTAGTAAATTTATGGCAATACGAATTCCCTTCGAAGAAAATATTTAATAGTGAAAAAACTTGGCTTAGGTGACAATGAAGGCAATTCTATCACCAATCTTTCAATTATCAATTCTGGCAACTATCTCGAAAGCTCTTTTCTTTTGTCAATTTTATTGTGGAGTATTAAATTTCTGTCAATAGGCTTATTGAACCACGATTTTGTTTCTGCCTTTACACATCGATGATGCGGGTTCGATTCCTGATGAAGTCTAGCAAAAAAAGTAGGATGGGGAAATGTGATCTCCGAAATGGCAGCTACAACTTCTACCGCTAATAAGTTTCCTAAAAATCAAAAGATAATTTAATTAAAAAAGGAATTTAATTTAATTTAAAAAGAAGAAATATAAAAAAATAACTTTATAAAAAGCAAGTGAAATTAAACAAATATATATTTTTCTTTTTTAAACAACAACATCCAAAAATTAAACGAGTATCAAATTAAAAATAAATATTTACTAAAAACAGGAAAAAATTAAATAAGTTCATACAAATTTAACTAGATTACAAAAAAAAATCTGCTTAAAACAAAAATATCTAAAACTAAAAAAAGAAAACAATTAAATAAGTTTCTAAAAATTAAATAAACTTAAAAAAATTTAAACATTAAAATCTCAAAATTAAACCAAAATAATATTAAAAAACAATAGATTAAAAAAAGAGAAAAATAAACTAAGTTCATAAAAATTTAACTAAATTAAAAAGGATATTTTTCTTCTTGAAACAATTAAATCAAAAACTTAAAAGGAAGTTAAATTGAAAAAAAAATATTACAAAAACGAAAAAAAATTAAATGAAATATTTTTCTTTTTAAAACAATAAAATCTGAAAATTAAAAGTTAATTACACTAAAAAGTAAAACAAAAAAAATTAAATAAAAATATACATATATTTAAAAAGGAAGATAAAAATAATTTCATAAAAATTTAACTAACATGGAAAAAAAAATATTTTTCTTCAATTAATGCAAATGTTTGTTGCGCTAAAAAAGAAGAAAATTCATATTGTACTAGGGGTTCTTGTTTACTAGTAAATGAAATGAAATGTCTTAAAACCATAAAATCTTAAACTTAATAAATTGACAAAAAGTAAAGTACCAAAAGAAAAAAATTAAATAAGTTTCTAAAAGTTAAATGAACTTAAAAAATATATTTCCTTTTAAGACAATAAAATCTACATAAAAAAATTTTTATTTAAAAAACCCCTTCTCGAAATTTCGACCTCGAATCTCTCGAACGGCGCGCCAGTGCTTTGCTGCCTCGGCCATTGCGACTTTTGGAGCAGCGCGAGCAAAACAATATACAAGTGCTTTTCACCATGAAAGTTGGCAGGGAAGCTTTTTTTGTAAAGCTTTCGTGCCAGTATTAACAAAATCTTTCAAACGATCTTACCTACTGTCTTTCAATTGTCTTACAAAAGACTTGGAACTATCTTAGCCCGAATTGCCATGTAAGCTTCCATTCTTCGTGCATGTATTCATCACATCAAATTCTGTTTCACAGCTGATAGTTGCGCACTACCAGATTTATAGCGCCAACTTTGAATTCTACACGGTTAGTCTAGTGCAGCGACGGGCAGAGAGAGCTTTTACTCTGCACGCGCCTATACAAAATGTATAGAAAGCTTAAAAGAGCTTTGCCCGTAGGCAAGGCAGTGCCCATCACTGGTCTAGTGGCATACAACGGTTCCAGGGTCAGCATTATTGCTGTGCTCACTTTGTTTTGTTCGAGTGAAAGCATGTGGGCATCGTCTCTATAGATTAGGTCTGGGTTCTTCTTCATCAAACGCGCCACCGGTTTTCAAAATCATTGAGAAATGTTACCTCCATATCTCTAGTTCACTTTGAACGTCTTATGCTAGATTTTCTTTTTCATCTCTGCAGGAATTAGGTGGTAGGGCTAGTCTTGAAAGTAATGAATTGGTAACTTATTTTCTCATAGAATTTTCGAGCCTCATTTCAGTATCCTAGTTTCACTCACCGCCTCTGAAGCAATGACGATCACAGAGCTTTCACTCTGCACTCGCCTATATGAAATCAACAGAAAGTTTTAAAAAGCTTCACTTGCGGTACATGTTTCGGTCGTAACTGCTCTTAAGGCTTTTCCGAACTTGCTAGAACCTTTAGTTTTAGAAGAGAAACACTGAAAATCAGAAGGTTCATATATTATGTACATTAGGTTACCCTTTTCACATTTTGGTACCTTTTTTTTCTTACCAACTAAGTTTTTTTTATTTTTATTTTAAAGATGATCAATTAACTTTATATATTTAATAAATGCTTTTATTGTCGCCAAAAATTAATATAAAATTAGTTTGCTAAGGACTTGAGGTCTAAAGAAAAAGGTGCGTATGTAACAAATAGGATTTCATTAAATCATCTACTAAAACCGTATTAATGTTTAAGCTTCATAAGCAACAATTAGACAAATCTATATTTTAAAATTTTAACTCCACCTTTGCAGATGGTTCGACGGCTTCTACTGGTTGGGTTTGCAGAATCGTACACTCGAACCGCCAATTAAGCCAACAGTGAAGAGCGTCGTAGACACTACCAATTTCGATGCATATCCACCAGATCCAGAGAGGCCACCGCCAGATGACTTAACCGGCTGGGATAAGGATTTTTAAGCGAAATTATGGCAGCTTAGAAAGGGGCCATATAAGTGGGTTTCAAATGAAATGCAGAAAAAATCTATAAGAACAAAA